GTACACTTACCTGTACAGGCCCCAATGTTTATGTCACACTGTATACACCTGCTATGTTACTCTCCACTATATGTATCTCAGTCCTTGTTACATCATACTTACATTCGTTTCAGCTGAGTCCTTTTCTTTGCTGTTTCACTCCCTCTATTCACTCAGTGTTTGTCTGTTTCTCTAATCCGTATATGAAAACATCAGATGTAGCTCTTCATAGAAAATATACCGTCACCAGTCGGCCTCTACCTCCTCATCTCGAGCACGGGGTATATATGCAACCTATCCCTGGGGAAGAAATAGGTGTAAATAAGAGACTTACGTAGCGCCTACAATAGAGGCGTAACAAAATGGCGGAGTGACATTCAGGGCTCACAAAACCGCTGCTGTTTCCCCAATTGCATCATATTTTCATATTTTGTCTTCGCCCCCTCCCCTCAAACCTACTGCACACACACAAACACACACACACACACACACACACACAAACACGTTTACGCATAAAAGATGATAAAACATACTCGATTGCAGCCGATGTTTTCCTTCTCTATCTCCTCCAGCTGTCGGTCATGTGCACTGTGACGTTCTCCCGTCCTTTAATCAGCGTCGTTATTTCACTGCCTAGCGACCACCCGATATTGACTGGCATATGATATTAAATCAGCGACAGAATTAAATCTTAATATTTAAAGTCTTCATAACGTACAGAGATAGTGTCACTGGATATCTGGAGCTAGTCGCGATAGCGGCCACAACGTCACGTCCCTGATCGATATAACACAGGGAGTTATTTCTGGACCCTTACAATGTGACTGTACTATAGTATAGAAACTTGTGTAACTGTTGACCTGAAAGATGCATCGATTGTTATGGGAACAATACATTCAACAGGTAACGCTATAGGAGAATTCAGCACATACACACACATAATATGTTAAAATACTACGGTATATACTGCCCTCATTTGTATCTGATATATTAGTAAAAATTTAAAGCATGAATGTTAACACTGCGTTTATAATTACATACCGGTGTTTATTAAAGCTGTACAGGCCCTTACTCTCTTTTCATTTTGGGTTTCAAACCTGATATGAATTTAATCCTCCTTTTTAACCACGGTCGAACTGATGTGGACTACTATGGCTTACTTTGAATTAAATTCGGTCAAATATTTGGTTGAAGAGATTTGACCAACTTTAGGGCTACTCTGGTACAGCCACTTTATTTTCTGGTGTGTTAAAGGATGCGTCTCACACGACGGCAGTCCGCGCCCTCCCCTCCCCCCCCCCCTCCCCTGGTTGATATGATCCAGAGACAAAAAGACGGCTCTCTCGGTGATATTTTCTGTACATATTTTCCCCGAATAAGAATTATTTCCTAGTATAGAATACACCCAAAGCTCTCCTATTCTTTGCACTTTTATGCATAGGAGAAAGAACGTAAAAGCAATTTTTTAGCACTTCTTATCAAATGTAGATACCGGATTATCAAGTAAGAGGTGATCCTCCTCAACTCTCAAATTGATGAGTCTCATTCGAGAGGCAGTATAACAATATATACAGTGCTGGAAGTGCGCTTATCGCATTATTAATTTATATATATCTTGTAAAAAACAATGCTGTGGTATGATTCAGCTAATTTCTGTCATAGTTAAACATTGTACTTACACCCCTTGATAGCCATTGATTCGCCACGTTAATTATTTACTTTTTACTCAATTAAACAGTGTTCGATTAAGTAGCATTGATAGCGACACAATGGTAGCATATAAGATTTGTAGCTGGATGAATTATCATCATTTAGTACCTCCCTGCATATCGCGGTGCGGAGCATTTTCTCTCACTCTAAAACACCCCTCACCCCTGGGGTTGACAACCGGTCAGACGCCAGGAGGCCACGCGAGATATTTTATTGTTGCATATTCACGCAAATATTAATTTTTTCATTTCTATGTGCCACAGAATGTTTACACCCTTATTGGGAAAGTGACGGGTGTGGCGGTGGGGGGTGGGGGGTGGGGGGTCATCCGTAAGGGTCGATATCCCCACAGGACCCGACTATGCAGTCGAAAAATACTGATTATAAAAGGTTATCTTAACCAAAATAATATTTTTTAAAAATTACAAATAGTCTGTTTATGAAAATAAAACGCATTTTATTTCTCTATCCAAGACGTTTTTTTTTCAAAAACGTTTGGGAAAATCACGCAACACTAGATTGAGCTGTCTACATCAAAACATGTATATATTCTAAAATCCTGTGGATAGCTACAAACTGGCTTTATTTTGATTTTCTTTAGATTTTACCTAAATTCAAAACATTTCGTGACATATCAAAGAAGACATTTTAAATCGCACATAATTTGACAATCTTTTTTGTGCGCTTATCACAGTATAATTTTCATAACAGCTTTGTTCGATAAAAAAGATTTATATTTAACTCACAGGGACACAACTTTTAAAAAAACCTTAAGGCAACCAAGTACTACTTCAAAGGGCTATAGTACAGTACTTATAATATTTACATATGTACAATACTACAATAGAATTATCATAGGGGATACTTTGTGGATGTATCCCCCCGTGTTCTACTCCCTCTTCCAATATATAAAGAATATTAAGATTTGTTCAAATTATGCACGTATAATATCTGTCTTTCACATAAAGAAATGACAAGTGTAATTTTTACTTTACATCATAAACAAACACACAGACACCTTTCTCAGTTAGCACATCCTAACTACCCACTGCGGAGAGTTATTTTGCTATAACTAATACTAAGACAGCTAACAGTAACGTATCTTCGCGGTATTAAAACGATCATATATCTGTTATAGTGCACTACACATGGAAATCTCACAAAAGCAGGATAACATTAAAGCTTGGGGTTTCGATGTTACAGTTCATCAACACTTGTGTTAACTGACGGTCACACATTAGTCTAATGATTTAATCTAATAGAGGCATGAATCGGACCTTTCTGTGTCTCTCCTGCATTATACTTATGCGCCCGATGCAATCAGATATACAGACAACGGAAGAACCAAAAGTGAAACCCCGCCAAAACGCCACGTCACGGCACTTCCGGTCACGTTGTCCGCCGCCGCTGGCGTCCCTGAAGTCGTGGACACAAGGACAGTGGCCGGCTCAGGGGAGGCAGTTGAAGGGTCCACAGAAGTTCCGTTATTTCCCGAAGGCGTCGATAGCGTGTTGTTCAACGCCTGCGGTGCCGCTTCAGTTGTTGTGACTGTTGTATCAGACAGAGTTGATGAAGCTGTTGTATTTTTACCTACTGTCTGCGACCCAGTTGGTGGTGTTTGTGTTGTTGTTGACGCAGCGCTCGTTGTTGTCGAATCCCCGGTTGTTGGCACAGACACCGGGATAGTAGCATTTGCAGATGACGGATTTACCGTTGCGTTGGGACTCACTGCAGTCGTAGCCGGTGAAGAAGTTGGTGCACTGGTTGGTGTAGTAGCTGTTGTCGGTAATTTTGTTGACTTTGTTTCCTTGGCGGTCGTCGAGGCACTGGTTGTAGCAGCAGCTGTTTTTGGCGGGATGGTTGTACTCTCTGTGCTCTTTGTGGCCTGTGTGGAGGGTTCAGTGGACTTTGGTTTGGTGACGACGGTTGTAGGAGTAGAACTGGCGGTGGTGGTGGTGGTCGCTGAGGTGGTGGTTGTTGCAGTAGGAGTAGTAGTAGTACCAGGGGTAGTTGTAGTAGCTGAGGTAGGTGTACTGAATGTAGTACTGGTAGTTTGTGCTGTGGATGTTGTGGGTGCTGTTGTTGTCGTTGTTGTGGGTATTGTAGTTGTAGGAGGTGGTGAAGTTGTTGTTGAAGTTGTAGAGGGTGCTGGGGTTTTTGTTGGTACCGTAGTACTAGTTGTTGTTGTTGTTGTTGTTGTGGGCACTGTAGTTGTAGGAGGTGGTGAAGTTGTTGTGATAGTTGTAGAGGGAGCTGGGGTTTTTGGTGGCACTGTAGTAGTAGTAGTTGTTGTTGTAGTTGTTGTAGTTGCTGTAGTTTTTGGTGGTTCTGCAGTTGTTGCTTTTGGTGTTGTAGTTGTAGAAGGTGCAGTAGTTTTTAGCGGTAATGTGGTTGTTGCTGTTGTTTCTGTAAGGTTTATAGTTGTAGTGCGTGTAGCAGTTGTGCTGGCTGTTGTAGCTGTTGTGAGGGTTGAGGTTGTGGTAGAAGTAGTGGGTGTAGTAGTTGTAGTTGGCGCAGTAGTTGTAGTAAGTGTACTTGTTGTTGTAGGTATTGGTATAGTAGTTGTAGGGGGTGTGGTAGAAGTAGTTGTAGTATGTGTAGTAGTAGTAGTAGTAGTTGTAGTAGGTGTAGTAGTAATTGTAGTGGGTATAGAAGTTGTACTGGGTGTGGTAGTAGTAGTAGTTGTAGTAGGTGTAGTAGTAGTTGTAGTAGGTGTAGTAGTAATTGTAGTGGGTATAGAAGTTGTACTGGGTGTGGTAGTAGTAGTTGTAGTAGGTGGGGTAGTTGTGGTAGTGGTATTTGTTGTAGTAAGTGCAGCTGTTGGAGTATATGTAGTGGTTGTGGTAGAAGCAGTAGTTGTAGCGGGTGTAGCAGTAGTTGAAGTGGGTGTAGTAGTAGTTGTAGTAGGTGCAGTAGTAGGTGTAGTAGTAGTAGTTGTAGTAGGTGTAGTAGTAGTTGTAGTAGGTGCAGTAGTTGGCACAGTGGTAGTACTTGCTGTGGTCGTTGTTGCTGTTATGACAGAGCTTCTCTGTGCAACCCAGAACGTATCATACTGCCTCAAAATGGTGGCACTGAAATAAGAATAATATTTTACATTACTATATTATCACTTACGAAGTGCTAGGGGGTCGTAGCTTACGGTGTCTACACCATGATTCTTTTTACAACAGTAATTTCGTTCTTTAAACGGAACCCTTCATCAGAGGAACTGGTGTCAAAAAATGCTGTTTGGTAAGATGTATGCAGCATGAAATATAGAAATGTTAATATATATATATATATATGGCATTAAAACAGGAATACTTCTGCATAAATACTAAGGGCGTATTTCCAGAGCTTTTAGATCGATCTATCCCCGCGGGGAGTCTCACTAGATTACTGTCAGATAATCCGGCTTAAATGTCCGTCCCACCTACTACAAGCTGTAAGGGGGTAATTAACTTTCGTGCCCGCTCGGCTGACAGCTATTTAGCATGAACCCCCAGGGAGTGAGGTCGATCTAAAGTAGATCGATCTAATCTCTGGAATGGGGTCTAAGACTGGGTTCCTATACCTAGATCAATCTAACAGGATCGATCCATCTCCAAGGGGTTTCTCGCTAAATTGCTTTCAGCTTAAGTGGCTTAGATCTATGGCACGCCTACTGATGCTTCTAAACAATAATTAATAACTCTCTACCATCTTCAGTCGGCGTGACATACATCTAGGCCGCTTGAGTTGATTGCAATTTAGCGAGAATCCCTTTGGAGAAAGATCGATGCACAGTTAGTACGATAGGGTCTGGGAATGATCCCTTACACAAACTCTATATCCTCTTCACCACTAGATGGAGCTGTCCACTGAAAGCTGAGATCTGATTTGTCGCTACTATCCACGTGACCGACTGCATCGTCGCTGTCCGTGCAGGAGATGGTGCCTGTACCGGAAGCAGAAGTTGTCCAGGTGCCCCGCCTCGTGCTTGCTCCGGACACACGTGCTTGAAGAAACAGCCCTCGGAATGTGTCCCCAGATATGGTTACTATGAAAATTAAATGATTGGTTAATATTTAGTGAATGTCATCTTTCATCCCATTTCCATAGATTTTTAGATCGATCTATCCCAGTGGGGAGTCTCACTAGATTACTGTCAGCTTGGCCGGCTTAAGCATCTGTCCCGCCTACTAAAAGCTGTAAGGGGGTAATTAACTATGGTGCCCGCTCGGCTGACTGCAATTTAGCGCGAAACCCCAGGGAGTTAGGTCGATCTAAATTTTAAGCTTTAGATCGATCTAAATCTCTGGGAAATCACCCTTTGTTATGCTCTCCAATATTGTCATTATTATCCTCCACTTTTCCATATTTGGCGAATGACAAATTCTTCATCAGTTTTTATTTTGTTTCAGCTGGTAGAAAAAGCACAAGGCCAACAGTGTAGGCCTACAATGTACGTAGCATACAGTTTGTGTCCAAGTTTCAGCTAGCCGAGGATGGCATCAGTTGAAATGCTATTTTCAGTTAGCTCTGAAAGAAGCCGTTAATACCTGGCAATATCGGGCTTATGACGTCATTGGAGTGAGAGAGGGGTAGGGCTAACAAATAACCTTTCTTGTCAAAAGTTGGTATAAAAAACTTCAAACCAATAGTTATATACGTAGTGCGTACTTTGATGTAGGATAATGATCAGTATTCCATCTAAATGTGGGTGTCAAGTTTGTGTTAGTCTCTCATAGTTCTTTATAGTACTGCCTTGTTGTAATGACTGTTTTAACTTTTAGTGTTTTTATTTTTTACCTTTATGGGTGATGTTTAAATAAGATAAACAAACAAACAAACAAACTATAAAAAGTACAGATTGTTTTAGACCGCCAGTCACACAGTCTTATCGGCTACATTTACTACAAATTTACTTTCGCTTAGAAGTTAAAACTGGTAGATCATAGCTTTTTGTTAAAATGGAACCATAAAGATTTATGATAATCTGACAATGTATGAAACCATGAAGTACTAAATAAAACGACAAGAAAAAGATCTTAAATTATAATGTATTTTATAAAGATCTCTTCCGTATACCTGTGAGTCTTCCGCCAGGCAGGTACTTGTCTCCGGACACTGAGATCGTGTAGGGGCTGGGTGTGGTCTGTGCTGGGCTTCCATGCCCTGGGGTCAACGAGTCACACCGGTTGGTCGGGGGTCCGGTGGAATAGGAGTGGACGCTGTACACCATCAGGAGCAGGCAGAAGTGAGCGGTCAGCGAGAACATGGTGGCTGGAGAGTGGACACTGTAGTGATGTACTGGTAATGGTCGCTGTTGGTGATTTCGTCTTTATCTAGAGAAAATATGACAGAGGCGTGATTCAGTGCGAGAGGCGGGGAGAGGGGAGTATGACGGGAACTTGGCGGTCTTCAACAGTGTGCAAAGCCGCTAGAGGAACGAACACTGGTGAAAAACGCTAACCGCGATTATTTTTTATCTTTAACTGAATAAGCACCGTGAAATAATGAATCACTCCTAGGTGTGGCTAAGTTGTCTAACTCACTTTATATTCTGCGCAAATCTATATGAAGTTGGAAATACAGTGGACACTGCCTTATTTAGCCCACTCTGTGACCCTAGTTTCAGTTGATCATAATTTTGGACTAAAATGAATCCGTGCGGAAGACGAGTAATGTCATCACAAGATCTAGACGTCAGCTGTGCGCAAAACAAAGCTATCCGTGCAATATTAACCTATATGACCCAGGCCTAATCATACCCTCCACTAGGACCACAGGTTTATTTTTTCACTAGATATTCGCAGATATGTTTCTAAATAAATGATGATTCTTTTCTGCACTGCGTCAGAGAAAAGTGCTCATTATTATTTGCGAACCAGGTAGAGGGTAACCTAATCGCGGGAATTTTGTTGTCTTCAATTCCCCTTTATTATTATTATTATTATTATTATTATTATTATTATTATTATTATTATTATTTTGTTGTGGTGATGAAAACGTACATCATATCGAAGGAGACTATCACCCTGTCTTACACAACACTCTGTGCACCACTGTACAACATCGTAATTGTTATTTGTGGTTTATTTGTTGTAATTTATCAAGGCATAAGTGTCTTTCGAAGAGTCATACTACAGCGCTCCCTCGAATGGGCATTTTGATAAATATACTGACACGAGTCATAACATTAACAATGGAATTATTTGGTGACAATTTAATCTAATAGCCATATTTTTAGAAATTACATCTCTCATTATTATTGTCTTTCTCAGTAAAAGCTAGGCCTTTTTTTGCTGCACGCAAATAAAGAATACGCCTGCTCACATTAAGAAAAAATATTTGGGCGTCAAATAATTTTTAACTCCCACTAGACCCTGTAAGGCGTGCATTTGTGTTTTTCTACGTGTGCGCGCCTGTGTGTGTGTGTGTGTGTGTGTGTGTGTGTGTGTGTGTGTGAGAGAGAGAGAGAGAGAGAGAGATAGAGAGAGAACGTGAGAACGTAAGAACGTGCTTGTGTGTAAGTGTGAGTGTGTATGATTATGCGCGTGAGTGAGTGCGGGTTTTTGTTCTAGTTCTAGTGCAGATACAAAGTATAGAAATTATGCCAAATTATAATTTTCTCTCTCTGACTTTGACAGGGAGTACGACATGCTTTCTTGACCCACTATATATTTGTCACTGCTGAGTAAGGCTTCGTTCACATGCAATGTCTATTTTCTAAATTCTATTTTCTATTCGCGCTATCTTATGATCACGGTCTGTGCACTGAATATCCCGCCGCGTAATTACTGGCAGCGCGAGCCAGTTACTATAAGTTACTATAAGTAACTGGCTCGCGCTGCCAGTAATTACGCGGCGGGATATTCAGTGCACAGACCGTGATCATAAGACATGCCGCAAATAGAAAATAGAATTTAGAAAATAGACATTGCATGTGAACGAAGCCTAAAAAGTGGTGTTATTGCAGTAGTTTCACATTGTGATGTTATCAGTATTATGAGGGGCACCATCAAGCCATAAAAGCCGATTTATCCGTTCATCTCATGACAGTACAGTTTACGGTGCACTGCCTTGGTGTTAGTTAGTGTCATTTACCACTGTTGTAAGACAAAAGACCCTAGGACGTCACAATACATGTGGGAACGGAACTGAAGACACTGTTAAGCCGATTAAACTGGGGAACACGTGTGTCAGCGGGAAGTTTACTTCCAAAATACAAAGAAGGAAATGAAGAAAGCAAATATGTAAAGGATCTGTGCTGCTTTGGGAAAATTTGACGACAGCGTCGTTATTCTTTTTTATCATCTAAATGTTCATTTATTATCAATTTTTATTTATTTATTTATTTATTTATTTATTTATTTATTTATTTATTTATTTTTAGTGGTAAACAGTGAAAGATAGAGGGAGAGAGAGAGGCACAGCAGGTTTAAAGAAAAGTTATGATTTATAAGGCCAGCATGATTTACGAACAAACAAAAGGACCCCCGGGCTATTGTCTACAGGTTCAGTTTCTGATGTACATATAGCCCTACATGTAGCTTATATTCAAGGTGTGAAATAACCCAAACGAGACAGTGATAATATCTCTCGCCAAATTCCTTAACCTAGCTTTTAAGAAAAGAAACTGTGCTACATCTTCGAGAGTAGTCTTTCAATTTATTAACCTTCCACTTAGTGATGTCTATGGCTGTAAATAATTACTGTAAATATCAAGGTTCATTTCACATAGTAGGAAACAGGCTCGTGCGTAATAAATATCTATATCTTAGTCATGTATACAATACTTGTAGTATGATGCTAGCGTACTATCAGTGCTGTGAGTAGTTGACTCGGCATTAAGACCGCACCTAGCTTATGGTTATGAAATACTGGAATAACGGTACCTTTGTATATATGTAATTTTGGTGCTATTTATCTATGTATTTATTATTATTATTATTATTATTATTATTATTATTATTATTTACTTTATCTATGTACATTTTCACCAGCTCAGTGTGGCGCAGAAAATATGAATAAAGCATATTTTATATATATGAAAGCAAGTAAATTGTCATTACTAGCCCAACTTTTAAAGTTTAATTTTGCGTACAGCAAAACATCTTTTTAAGAAATATCTCAAGCTATTTACAATACAGTATTTTATCAACGTTTATAACTTATAATAGATTTCATTTTCAGTGGAAGCCGTTTTACGGTAATTAACTGTATTAATTTATGAGATTTATCTTTGTTTTTGGAGGGATTGATGATAATCATTTAAAACCAATTTTTTTTCTGCATCAACACGTAGCGAGGTCAGGGACTGTTATACCTTATTTTATGTAAACAAGGTGATCAAATTTAAGATGACTGTCGTGGTCACTACGGCCAGAGAGGCATTAACGCATTTCGTTCGAGTAGATTAAATAGTATGTTGACTTGGAAAACTTTTGTTGCAAAGTTGTGAAAGAATGATTATTACAAAAAGTGTACATTTCATCTGGTATTTAGTTAAAGTCATGAAAAGCGCGAAGGAAAACTCTTTCTAAAGATGTACATGTATATGACACATTGACCCTGGTAGAGGGTAATAATTTACCACTATTCTGTCTTTAGGATGAGGGTTTTGTCACGTTCATCCCCCACCCCCACCCCCACGACAATAGAACTCATCATTTTGACCGGGACCCTTATAATAACATTACGTAAGTCATTATACCCGAAAGGATTTCCGCAGTTAAGAAGGAAATTGTTTGTCGTGTTTCCACTCCCACTGTCAACTTAACACGTTAATATCTACTCATCACCAGTGTGGATCATAGCTTTTAATTCTAATTCTCAATTTTAACTCGTGTCACCTGTTCGTTACGTAGAGTAATACATCCACAAATCTGTATGCATTTTCGTGTTTTGATAAAGGTATCCACTGTAGTACTTAAAATGACATTTTTATAATGTAGATAATTTAGATGTTTTTGCATTTTAGTTTATTTCTTTACTTTATTTGAAATATGTCGGTTTTATCCTAATATATACAATTTAACTGCTTGTAGATGTAATGAAGAGACACCATTAAAAGTTTCTG